GAAATATGAAAAAAATCAGCTTCAATCACTCGATCTGCCCGTCAAACTTTTTCGATTTATGTAGCGGATGTTACGAGAATATAGTCCGGCGATCGAGATTGTCTGAAAGCTCGACAGCTTTTGAGTTTACGCAGCCTTATGTTGTTTCCAACTTACAACTAATTTGGTTCTTCAAATTCCCAACGTTGTTGGGGCTTTGTCTATTTGTGGGGCAGATATCTCGTTAGGCAGGACTGAGAATTCCGGCAATATCGTTCCTCAGTATAATACAGACTCTAGCTTTGTTCTTCAGAATAGTGGTTACGACAGAGCTCGTCATACACAACAAAGTGGATGGTAGTCCATAAGGGAACAGAGCGCAGCAAAGTGTACAGAGAGTGTTTAAAACATGTCTTATAAATTTTTCCAGAATTTGTCCAAGTGATTAAAATTTAGAGGACCCGGAAAAAATTTCGAATCTATCTGATAACGATGTGTTGCAAATTCTTTAAAATGTTTAAAATTGCGAGTTGGCAGACTGGTTATTTCAGCTGGGTCTATGGATTTTGCATCAACAGATCTTCCGGAAGCTCAACAGCCCGAAGCCATTAAAAGGTGAGATTTGAAGAAGTGGAGTGCGGAACAGATTGAAAGAGGGTATGAGTACCCAGATGCCAGAACTCTTACGAGATGTTCACAGGCTAGGGAATTGAAGACTTGCACTCTCATTAGGCCTACGTCGGTAGCTCTGCTGGTCGGAGTCGAAAGACCCAGTAATATGATTCATCCTCAAACTTTACTTGATTCAGCACAATAATTGCACAATTTCTCACTTCGATCAGTGCACAAATACCTGTTTTATAAATTTTAATCGTAGCAGTAATGGAAACGATTATCGTTGTTGGAACAGTCTTGATGCTGCTGTTACTAGAACAAACAAATGATCTAATCAATACAAACAACAAATAATCTCAAATCAAACGTCTATCGTTTTGAGTGTAGAGGTTATCATTCAGTCGTAGACACTTAATTCGATGTCGGAACCACAGGACGTTTTCGACGAGCTGGCTAACTAACCGGAATCTCGTTGAATTTGGTGAACCTGAAATAATGGCCTAGCGTATTTGGTGTTATGACTGCTTGAACATTTACCCTTTTCGATCCATTTGCCGTTCGATTACTACTGAGTGAATTATGATTTTTATTGAGTTAAAACTCAGTTTGTAACAATGGAGTCACCTGCTTTCATTTGCTAAAGTTGGGAATGATCGTACTCCAGGTAAGGTGAGCCTCGATCCATAATGCCGAATACTAAATAAAGAATAACACGCATGCGATGCTTTATGTGCAGAGGAACTGAAAGAGAGCCAAATTACCAGAGAGTAGCTACATAAGAATCGAATAATTTAGTTTTAAACTGAGCGAACTGAGGGTTATCGATTAGAATAGAAGCTTATAACCAATTGTGAACCTTTCAGTAGTTCACCAAAAGATGGTGCGAAGAAGAAGCCGTATGCAATAGTCGAATCATTTCGGATGCCAAATTTCACAGCTTCAGACGACGAAGAGGGTAACTGATCAAAATGGAATCGAAATCAATCAGTTATTATCGATTCCTATCCCAGAGTACCCACGATCGTGTCATAACCTACGTCACTTGTTAAAATTCCGCGGTTCCACTTTGAATACGAAAAGCTGTAATACTACTCAATCTGAACTCTCTATGTCCACGTAAACAGGAGTTACGAACTTGCGACCAAAAATTTCTATCGCGCACGCCCCGTCCCCTCTAGGCAGGGTTCGGTCTTGTTACTTGCCATAATCAATCACACCCTGCCCTCCATACTCCTACTGAATTTGAACTCTCTAGGTCCACGTAAAGAATTATGAATTGGCGATTAAAAATTTCTGTCGCCCCTCTCTGTAGGCGGAGTCTGGTCCTGGTACTTGCCATAAGTACACCCATTTTGCCCCACCCCC